TGGTGACTGGTTTACCTAAAATCGGAGAAGCTCATCATTTGAAAGTTGGGCACAAGGTCTGTTTTTTTTGGCTGTATCAACTTACGAAGGCTGTTTAATATGGCTTGGAGAGGTTGTGAATTAGTTGAGGGAATAGTATTTTGAAGAACTTAAGTACACATGTACACCTTTTAAAAAGCTAGAGCATTTTCATATTCTATAATATTTTATTCTTTAAAGAATCAAGTTGGGTGTGTTTTATTGCCCTGTTCCCATTTTGTGGGAAAGAAAATTCACAGAGTTTAAATGTCTTGTCACATAGGTAATAACTATTAGAACCAAGACCAGAACTCAAATCTTAATCTATAATTGTTTTATTTAATAAGACAATATAACCTGAATGAAGGTCAGTAAAAATTTAACTTGAATAAAGGAAGCACTTCTACATTTGTGAAGCCATTATATTTCACTAGTGTTCATCATACTTGGCTCACACTTTTTATGATTTTACTTTTTTGGGTTGTGGGGGACTATAGCATAGCATCTAGATGGTGCAGTGGATAGAAGACTGGATTTGGAGTCAGGAAGACCAGAGTTCAAATATGACCTCAGACCTCACTAGCTGTGACTGTGGGCAACTCACTTAATCTCTGTCTGACTCAGTTTCCTCATCTGTAAAATGGGGATAATAATAGCGTCTACCTCATAGGGTTGTTGTGAAGATCAGATGAGATAGTAATCATAAAATGCTTAGTATGGTGTCTGTCATATAGGAAGCAATATATAAATGTAAGCAGAGTATTAGCTGTTACCTCTTAACTAGGTCTTTATCATGAAAAGTGTTTTTAGTAATCATCATGAATAGATCTAATCTTAAGGTAGAGTAAGCTGAGTCTTGCTTCCAAATAAGATTGATTAGGATGCCTGGAAAAAGTTATTTAAAGGGTCATACCTTTTGATTAAAAGATTTCCCTATGAGGCACATATCTCAAGAAGGACAAATATAGGAAGGCCCACGTATGTACACCAACATATTTCTGGAAGCATTTTTTGTGGTAGCAATGAATCGTAGACAAAGTTGGTGCCCATTAATTGGTGAGTGGCTAGACAAATTAAAGGACATGAATGTAATGGAATATAAGAAATAACAACTAATGAAGATTTCAGAGAAACATGGGAAGATTTATAAGAACTCATGCAAAGTGATGTTGGCAGAACCAGGAAAATATTATGAATAATGACAACATTCTAGATGGAAAAATAGAACTAAAACTGAACACTATAATTATAATAACCAAGTTTAACTCCAGAGGATGAAGACTTCCCCCCTTCATTGTAGAGGTGAGGGAATTTGGGTGTAAAATGTTTACGTATTATTAGACATGATTGATATATTGGTTGGCTGTGCTGATTTTCTCTTTTTTAAATCTTTGTTACAAGAATTGGCTCTCTGAATAAAGGACAGGGAAGGTATATATTTGGAAGTGAATATAGTGTAAAAACAAAAGGCATCAATGATTTTTTAAAAAATCAGAATAGTTTTCTCATCTGCAAAATAGAAATTATAATCCTTGGTACCAGATTGTTTGACAGGTATTGGAGAAGTAGTTTAAGATCTTTGGATTAAGAAAATGGGAAATTGAAGTATGGAGTATCATAATGGCCTAGAAATACTTGCAAACTGAATCTAAGCAAGACTGAATCCATTTGATTTCATATTTAGTTCTCTTCAAAGTAGAAAATGTCTTTCCCCTTTTTGCCCAACAAGCATTTACTAAGCACCTGCTCTCTGTGAAGCATTGACTTGGTCTTTTTATTTTTTTTCTATTTTATTTTATTTTTTGGCCAGGCAGTGGGGTGAAGTGACTTTCCCAGGGTCACACAGCTAGTAAGTGTCAAGCGTCTGAGGCCAGATTTGAACTCAGGTCCTCCTGAATCCAAGGCTGGGGCTCTATCCACTGAGCCATCTAGTTGCCCCGACTTGGTCCTTTTAATAACAACAGTAACAACAATAACAACAACAAAAAGTTATAGTTCTTTAAGATCTGTAAAGCATTTTGCAAATATTACCTCATTGTATCACAAAAACCCTTGGAGGTAGATGATCCCGTCCATTTTACAGATGAGGAAACTGAGGCTGACAGAAGTTAGAAGACTTGACCAGGATTACATAGGTAGGTGAGTGTCTGAGGCAGAGTTTGAACTTAGGTCTTCTGACTTCAGGTCCAGAGCTCTAGACACTGCACCACCTAGCTGCCTCTGTTATTTTCCTAATGACAGAAGGAGAAAGTGATGGGTGATATGTGACTTTGCAGTGCTGTCATTCTGCTTATGATAGCACATTTTTATAGTGGTATTAAATCTACCCTTTTCTGTAGTTAAGGAGAAGAATCAACTGCTCTTATAATTAATCTATAAGAGATCTTGACTGGATATATGCTTGTTTCTATTATGAGTTAAATTAGTTTTTAAAAATCACCAATAAAGTAGGGAATTTTTTTCTGGTAACTATCCCAGCAGGGTCTAGCAGTCTGGTGCTGGCATTTACTTCTCTTCATGGCCCCTCCATCTCTTCCCCTTTCCCAGGAGTATTATTTCTCAGTTTTAGTTCATGACTTGATCATGATAGTAAGTCAAGTCAAGGAAATATAAACCATTATTTCTTTTTATGGGAGTTATAGTGCATCTATAATCACATTCAATATACAAGGCACTTATTCTACAAGCACTTCTTTGGTGCTAACAACTCTCTATAAAATCTTAATTTTTTCTTGAGAATAATGGTAGCAAGGAATTTAAAATTTTCTATAGAGAGGTAGTAGGCACATGGGTAAATTCTGTTCAGCTTATTGAATTACCAGTACAAAGAAGGTTAGGAAATTTATAATGCCTGGTTAAACATTACATTTACATGTGTGTATACTGAGTGGGGCTGTGAAGTTATCTTCCCAATAGTAATTGTAAAGCTATGGGTTGATTAGGGCTTCTTAACTTGTTTTTCATTCTTAAATTTTTCTTTCTGGGATCTTTCTCACTAGTAAACACCAGATTTTCTTGAGTTTTCTTTGTTCACATTATAATTTCCTTTTGTTGAAAGCCCTCTCTATACCTTATGTTATGTGCTAGGAGTAACTCTCCTTCCAATTCCTTGGCTAAGTGCAGAGTCCTTTTCTTCTCCATACCTCATGTAATTTGTACCCCTGGATATAACCCTCAGGAAATATTGGCCTGGCTAGTGGGAATGATGAACAAGGGAAGATTCTTTTTCATCTATGACAGTTCCCATTCTGTTATTCCTGACCCCTACATAACCATTGTTTTAGTGCTGTGTTTGGAGGCTATCTTACCATAATAAAGGAACAGAAGGAACAGAACTGCGGACAAGATAACAGGGCCCATAGTGGCTGGGAGAAATGTGGGGGAGGGACAAGTCTTGGGTGTTACCAAATCTTTACCCACTTGGTTACAAGAGAACTACAGTATCTCAGAGCTGCTTTGCTATCTTTCTGGAGAACATTTTGACCTTTGTCCTAAGCCACAAACTCATAATTCTGTTCAGAATGCTTTTCTTTTCTAATATAGGCCCACATCTCCATGTGATGGCCTAAATTTTTTTTTTTTTTTTTTTTTTTTACATCAGTTGATCACAGCTTTTGGCAATGTTGGGTAGTGCAGTCCTCTCTCAGAAGTGGGAGAAGTGATGTTTTCTTGACCTAATCTATAAGATGCATTTTATAACTTATACAGAACCGCATGAAAGTAGTTAGGTCTGCAAGTCTTTACCTTTTATGAGTACCTTTTTTTTCCACCTTTAAAATAGTGGACACACCATCATTTTACTTTCAGCTTTTACTTTTGTACTTTGTACTGTAGGATGCAAATTTAATTGTAGCTCTCCTCAGATGATCTAATTTAAAAATTACATTTGTTTTTACCTTGATTGCTTACATGATTTTAAAGGGCCCATAGATTGCTTTTTAGGTTTTGTTGATATTTGCTTTGGTTCATACTTCCAAAGCTTCCTGAATTTAGTAAAGTTATTTGTTTTAAATGATAATTTATTAATTTAATACAGGCACAGTGGCAGAATTTGGAGTTTGTTATCCTCAAGATGGGGAAAGATAAGGAAATCTTGAAAATTTACTTTGTAGAAGGAAGAAGGGGGAGGATGGAGATGTTTCCTTGCCCAAATAAGCCTAGCAAAGCAGCAGCTAGTAGATACAAACTTTAAATAAAGTTAAGTGATTTGCCGTCTTATCAGTGTCAGTTTTACCTGTAATTCCTAAAGATGATTATTCTTTTTCCTTGTAATCACCTAAGAGGACAAGATGCTGTGGAGGCCTGGCTTGAATTTGTATTACTGTGCTCCTTATTTCTAAAGTAGCCCTACAGTGCTTTTTTGTAAGAGCCGACAGTTCAGTTTTGTTCTTTGGGCTCAAAGTAAAAGGCTCGTTATGTTCTAACACTGAGTAGCTTTGTTCCTGACAGCTAGTGGTCAGCTCCCAGTTTTAAAACAATCAATTGGGTGCCACAAGCTTAACTTGCAATTGTCTCCTGGTCCTTACTCAGCCTCAGCCAACACTTCTGTTGGGGAGCCCACATAGAGAGGCCTTTTAACAAGGAGTATTTAACAGTCCTAGTGGGATGCCTGTATAGGTTTGCCTGTCGGTGAGTTTGATAGCACATGAGGCAGACTTTAATACAGTGCTTGCTCTCCTGATTGTTCCTTGCTGTTCTAGCCTATTATTCTGGTATTCAGAATCTGGACCAGTAGTATAGTCAAAGAGTGGGATAGGACAGAGAAGAGAAACTTTGAGACATGGCAATACTGAGTCATGACAATTTTAACCTGAGAGTTTCCAGAGAAAAGACTTAGCAGTTTGTGTGTAGGAATATGCAAGTGTTATTCAGACCATCATTTTAGATTAATGAACAGATGATTCTAATTATGACTAGGCCCTAGTGGAGACTACTGATTAAGTACAATCAATAAAATGTTTTTCTCTCTCCCTCTTTGACAGGATATGATGGAGCTGCTGGAGGAAGACCTTACATGCCCTATTTGTTGCAGCTTGTTTGATGATCCCCGGGTTTTGCCCTGCTCTCACAATTTCTGCAAAAAATGCCTGGAAGGTATCTTGGAGGGCAATGTCCGGAATATGCTGTGGAGACAATCCCCTTTCAAGTGCCCCACTTGCCGGAAGGAAACTTCAGCTACTGGAGTCAATAGCCTGCAGGTCAATTACTCCCTGAAGGGAATTGTGGAAAAATACAACAAGATCAAAGTGTCTCCCAAAATGCCCGTGTGTAAGGGTCATGTAGGACAGCCCCTCAACATCTTCTGCTTGACAGACATGCAGCTCATCTGCGGGATATGTGCCACTCGGGGCAGTCACACCAAGCACGTCTTCTGCTCTATTGAAGATGCCTACGCTCAGGAAAGGAGTGCCTTTGAATCGCTGTTTCAAGGTTTTGAGACCTGGCGTAGGGGAGATGCTCTTTCTCGTCTGGACACCTTAGAGACAAGCAAGAGGAAATCCCTGCAACTCCTGACTAAGGATTCAGATAAGGTGAAGGAGTTCTTTGAGAAACTGCAGCACACTTTAGAGCAGAAGAAGAATGAGATCCTGTCTGACTTTGAGACCATGAAGCTAGCAGTCATGCAGACCTACGACCCAGAGATCAACAAGCTCAATACAATCTTGCAGGAGCAACGGATGGCTTTTAACATTGCGGAAGCCTTCAAGGATGTATCAGAACCCATTGTATTCCTACAGCAGATGCAGGAATTTAGGGAAAAAATCAAAGTCATCAAGGAGACCCCTTTACCTTCCTCTAATTTGCCTGTAAACCCTATATTTAAGAACTTTGATACCAGTCAGTGGGAGGGAATAAAACTAGTAGATGTGGACAAAATGTCATTGCCTCAAGAAACTGCCCCATTCACCAGCAAGATTCCTTGGAGCTTTTATCAGATATTTGTGGTACTCTGTCTTGTTGGCCTTCTTGTTTACTTCACTCCTACAGTGTCCCTGGATGGATCTTTATTTGATGATTTCTCAATCTGGAAAGCCCATCTCTTCAGCTTCAGCTCTAGTTATCTGACAGAATCAGCCGAAATTGCAGATCAAGCAATTTTGTACTGGGAACAGGCGGTGGATGAGGTTTTTGTTTTCAGTGAAAGGTTCAAGAATTACACTTTAGTGTTGCTGAATGGTGTGGCAGAATTTGTTTGCAAATATAAACTATTATAAAAATCTGTTGCAAGTACACAATCCTATTTCTGTCTTTTGTCCCTAGCTGACAGGACTAACTTACAACCTGTGAAAAAGATTTAAAAAAATACTTGTTAAAGAACACACGCTCTAAACTAGTGGCTCAGTTGGAATAGCTTCTGGCAGAAATATCTTTATACAGAAGCATTCCCATGGAACCAACATCTTATGCGTGTGTATACTCTTCATGTTAAAAATCTAAGGGTAAAAGTGAAACAGGATGGAATCTTGAAATACCATTTCTCCTCTGAAATGCTTTTTTAAGCAGGCCTCTCCCTCCCCCAAGTTGGTTTTATCTAGGCTGTGACAAAAATGGAAAACACAATGAAAACATGTGATCTATAACATTTTGTACAAATTGCACTACAGTAGTATAAACTAATTATTTCACAATATGCAGTAGAGATTGTGCTTGGAAAGTGGTATTTTTTTCTATTAATGAGACATCTCCAGAACAAGACTTGTGAAGATCTGAACTCATTTGATTCCCACCCCCCTTTTTTTATCTAGTGATGGTCCATTGATTGTTGAATCTTTGTGTTAACTAAAATAACTAGTTTACATTTTTTGGTGAGCTGTATTAATATTTTCAGCTTAATTTTTCCACCTTAATAATGTAAATTATCCTTGATGTACTCTGCCCTATTATATTCTTAATTGATCTCTAAATATCTTAAAATATTAGAGCCAGTGTGGTTTAGAACTATACTTGAAAATGTTAGTTTTTCGATATATCAATTTTAGGTAATTTTTTAAAAGGCCCTCTTACCTTTGCTATGACCCACAGTGCTTGAAAAAAAAAAAAGAGTTGCAGGTTTCTGTGGCTAAATATGGGAAACTGTTTTTACTCTGTTTCCCCTGGATCGGAACTCTGCAGGTATAGATGAAGGTAAGAAATAGGCCCAACATATGGTAGGAGCAGCTCTCTCTCCTGGATGTCACCAGCACATTTCTGTGTTCCACTTGGAGCTAAAGTATCGAGGCAGCTGAACTACTAAGTAAATCCTCATACTTAAGGGTATACCTTTGTTGTTTTTGTTTTTAAGAAGAGGAATAAAGTTGGTCAGTCACTTTATGATGGATGAAATGTAACCTGTCAGCAGGTACTGTAAAACACAGTTATCAGGCAAACATTGCCCTACCTGCTGGCATGAAAACACTATTGTCTGTCTTCTGCAGAGCACATGCTTATTATTTCTCTTACTTGGCCAATTTCCTACAGGAATAAAAAGTGGATCTTATCTTGAAACTGTTTTGTTCTCTACCTGAACAGTAGAGATACAGGGTGTGCTACTTTAATTGGAAATTTATTTTATTTTTAGTAACTAGAAGAATTTCATGAAAACGAGTAGGTCAACTTGGTTCCCTTTCTTCAGTGGAAATAGGGGAAGGTAATGACTTGAAGGACTTTTCTATCTCTAAAATTCTGTGATTCTGGATAGGAGAGTGAGAAGAAAGGGAAGCCAAATCAAGAAACTGGTTAAGATGCAGAATTTTCTTTAGGATGTGGTTTAAAGTTTAGGGAATTAAAATCTGGGTGAAGTACTGGCTGTATCACACCTAAATATCATAGTCTAACACTATGGTTTTAATTAGAAGGCATTGGGTGATTTTATACTGAATGAATTATAAACAATTACATAGACTTGTTACTCCCTCATCTTCTCTACTATTCTCCATCGCATCCGTGAAAATATTTCTTCATACACAGAAATGAGAATTTACCTTTTATAAAAGTGGTCTAGAATTTTATTTTGGAATTGTTAATTCTTTGAAGCTAAAATCTGTTCTTTAAATCATACTTTTAATATTTCATATTACTTTGAAGATAATCTTTGATCAACATTTTTTTTTAATAGAGTGAAGGACAAAGGGTTACTGAGTTGAGGTTGAAATTTCTTCTCTAAAGTATCTTATCTTGACAGCATTCCAAAAGTACTCAGCCGTTCCACCTTTCATTTCCTATACTGGCAGTTACCAAGCAACCTGACCCTGCAAACAAAGCTGCTGGATACAGTATTTACTTTGCTACAGTTACCTGGGAATCCAATCTTGTTTCTGTTGCTCTTTCCCCCCCCTCACTTAGATACAACCAATATCTATGATCATAGATCTGCTTTACAATTCAGAAATAACCAGAAAGTCAAACTCTTTGCTTTTCAGCCTTTGGTTGGAAGCTATTAAGGAGAATGAGTAGTCAGGAACTGGTCACTTTGAATGTGGGAGGAAAGATATTCACAACACGGCTTTCCACCATACGACAGTTCCCTGTGTCTCGGCTGGCACGCATGTTAGATGGTCGGGACCAAGAATTCAAGCTGGTGAATGGCCAAATTTTTGTGGACAGAGATGGCTTGCTGTTCAGTTACATCCTGGATTTCCTGAGAACTCAACTGCTTTCCTTACCCACTGACTTTTCAGATTATTCAAGGCTCCGAAGGGAGGCTTATTTCTATGAACTTGATCCTCTGGTTGAGCTTCTTGACCAAGAACTGCTAAAGCCTAAGCCAGAAATTTTAGAGGTACGCTTTATGTGCCAGGACACTCGAGCCTTTTTCCGGGTCTTTGGCTCCTGTAGCAGCACAGTTGAGATATTAACTGGGCGGATTACAGTGTTTATAGAGCAGTCTTCCACCCAAACCTGGAACAGTAGCTCTTTCCCTGCTCAGACGGCCTTACTTCCAGTCCCACCACAAAGACCTTCATACCATGACCTGGTTTTCCAGTGTGGCTCTGATAATACTACTGGTGACCAGGCCCAAGCCAGGTATTCTGTTCTATTTCAGTATGGCTCCTTGCCTCCTCCCCTTCCTTCCTTTTTGTCCAAATCTTTGATGTTTTTTATAAAAACAAAATTTCTAATGCTTAAGATAATTATTTTCCTAGAAAATTTTTGTTGTTCAAAATGGTGCTTTGGGACTACTAAGTGGGGTGTGAAACAAAGGATTATTTATACATCAATTGTTCCATTGCCAATGAAATTAGCTTTTATTCATTGGAAAATTTTATTTTCTCTTAAACAGAAATTCTTTCAATTTGACTCTTCTCCCTTTATGATCTGTTCCCCCCCCACAAGGTTTTCTTCCCTTTTTTTTATTTTTTAAACACTTCCAAGGGAAGATGTTTCTATCCCAGTGGCCATTTTTCCATATTTCATCTTCAGCATTTAGCTTCTTAGTCATCTCAGAATATATTAATGATGGTATGTCAACATATTAAAGGTGGCTTTGTGACAATATTTTTTAATGCTCAGTTCTTGACAGGATCCTAAAGTTGGCTTCCAATAAGTTGCTATGTAGAGGTTAATAACTATATTAATGTTTAATATGATAGATTATAAAAGCTTACCTAAAGTTCTTAGTACTTTTCATTTCCCTGTATTACTAAAGGTGTAGGATGGCATTTCTTTTTGGGAAACTATGACTGGATGTGTAATTCATTGATTAAGTTTAAAATGTGTATATAAAGAGACACTAGTGTGTTATGAAGTACTGTCCTAAGCTTTAAAAGTTAATGTGAAGGACATCCATACTTAGCACATACTTTGGTGGTACTGTCTTAATTGTGAGTGGGTGGCTAATGATTACATTGAGAAAAGGATATGTTAAGCCTTTTTATTTTATGGAGGAATTAATAGCTACTATCATGGAATCTTTTAAAAATTGGAGAAATGAGGATAACATTAAAGAATATTTTAGCAGAAATATTCCAGGAGGGTAAAAAAGAAGAGTTTAAACAAACTATAGGCTTTGGGTGCTCGCATGCATAACACAGAGGTTTTTTGGAATAAATTGTAATGAAAAGGCTGACAGGCAAAATAAAGAAACTTAAGACGGGAACCAGGGATGGTCAGGCACTGCCAAGTGACATACTTCTGTTTCTTGGTTATGTTTCTTAGGGGCTGGGCTAATTTTTAAGTCTTAGTGTAAGAATAGTATTAATATCTTTAAATCTTGTTATTTTAGTAGTTATACCACTAGCATCTATTGAACAAAAGTATTGATTGGTTGGTCTTATGAATTTCTTCTTAGTCAGGTGACATAAGATCTTCTTTTAAATAGTATTTGTTCTTCTGTTCCAAGCAACAAGTGGAAGGCAGGCTGGTACAGTGAAAAAACTGCTAGATTGGTACTAAGGAACCAGGTTTAAAAAAGTCACTTAGTGACTCTGGGACTCAGTTTCCTCATCTGTAAAATGAAAGTATTAGGCTAGATGACCTCAGAAGTACCTTCTAGTTATGAATATGAGCCTATCATACCACATTATAAGTGTTTTTTGATCTATATATGAATGCTAGCTTTAGAGAAGGTGGATAACCTGAATAGATGAACATATTGGGATCTCTGATGCTAGAATGAAAAAACTCTGACCTTCTAACCTGATCATCTGTCCATACTCAAGAATCTATTCTTAACCCCTGCATATTTTCTGCAAATTAGAGAGGGAATGCTTGGGAGCCTGGGTCTTTCTTTTGTCACCCTGAATCAAAATGCCTGGTGAAGGGCAGGGAAGAAACGGGTCAGTTTTGGTCTGACTTTTCTGGCTCTGAAAGAGAACCACTGAAGCCCCACTGTGTTTGGTAGCCATTAGTCTAGATAGTATATAATCTAGATGCATAAGCATCTGTTACTCCAATGATCAATAATCGTGTTCAAATCATGTGTTAGGTTAGTTTCTGGAAAGCATGAACATTTCCATTAGCACCCAAAATACCTGGATTTGCTGTTTCCTTGCAGCTGCAACTCATTTGATTAAGTTCAATCTAATATCACAGGATCTTAGGTATTCTCTTCTGTAGCATTTGTCCTGTTGCATCTGGTTTCATGAATTTGTTTTAATTCTGGCTCAAAGGGAAAATGTGTAAAAAAATTGCAAATTGTTTTTGGTTTTTATTTCACAGAATATATCTCTTTATTTTTCTTATGGTGCCTTGGAATCTTTTTACCTCTGGCTTGGGGGGGAAGGGGAGGGGAAGGAGGGTGCCTCACATGGAATCATGTTCTTTGAGTCAACTTTTCTCGGTAATGTATACTACTTTGTAATTGTTTACCCTGTATTGTATATATTATATAGAATCTAGTTCTTTCAGATGTTCTAGTAAATTGTTTTATTTCTCAATGTGTTTTTTATGTTTTAAATATGCACTAAGTTATATTTTGGACTTTGGTAGTAGAGGGAAATACTTTTACTAACATTAAGGAAAAAAGTTAATTTTTTCAATAAACAGCTTTCTTTTTTTGGGTAGAGAAATGTGTTTTGTAATTTTGTAATTTTCAGAATACTGTTTTTTCCCCCTTTTTTTGTACCCTCCTGTACTAGATACTAGTAATTTGAGAAATGGCTACACAGCATGGAGCACAATGTTTAGTTAACTTCTTGTTTTAAAAAAAAGTTGGAGATATATTCCATGTCTTTTTACTCTACAAACCTAGAAAAAGTTTAGGCTTTCGAATGGAACTAGTGAAGATTAGTTTCCTATCAAAGTGGCTTCCTTGAATGTTATAAGCCAACTGCCTTTATTGTGAGTGTTGGTATACCTGACTGTAAGGCAGTAAAGAGGATGTACATATAAAGATAAAATTTTCTTGATACTCTACATAGGAGTAGGAAACACAGAGCTACTCATTACTACATCACATTACACATTTACTATGTCAACAATAACAGGATAAATTTGAATGGTTTAGGCAAAGACAGGCTTTATTTTCCCTGTCATATGTGGTCTGATTCTGTGAATTTTCCTGAATTCGCCAGATGACTGTGGAAGCCTCCACCCTCCCTTATTGGCTGTATAAATAAAAAATTATTTAAAAAACTTTGTTTCTTTGGGAAACCAGATTTAAAAGTACATATTATTTAGTCAATATCATGTCATATTTTAAGGTTAAGTGTGTAGATAGTTATCATACAGCTAGTTAGTTGTATATGTGGTTTTGGTAGGGGTTGAGAGAATGCTTAAAAAACAAAACATTAATCATTTCTTCTGCTTTAGGTATATTTCTATAAAGCCTGATAACCGAAAACTGGCCAATGGAACTAATGTACTGGGACTACTTGTGGACACGTTGCTTAAAGAGGGCTTCCACCTGGTGAGCACTAGGACTGTGTCCTCTGAAGAGAATGTGGAGTGCTACAGTTTTGAAAGGATGAATAGGCCTGAAGACCTTACCATGAGTGAAAGAGTGAAACCAGAGCCCACCACTGCAGCCCAGCTGATGCCAGTACAGTCTCAGAAAAAGAAATGAAGTGCCTAGTCCTCATGTAGACTAAAAAAGGGGCATTTCCTTTTAAAAGAGCAACATTTCAAAAAGAAAAAAAAATTCATGCATATATACATGTAGACACATGTGTATCATATAATTTTTTTTTAGTGGGGGGTGGATGTCCAGGAATTCCACGCTTTGGGTAGGGTGTGCTGATGTGCTAAATTCTGGGATAAAAATGCTAGGTCTCTCCTTTAGTCATTTCACAAGCAGTAAGAGCTGTCTCTGAATGAGGATGTGGAGAACAAAATCTATTACATTGCTTTAGGAATCAGAACTTGAATATACTGAAAGACTATGAGGTGGGCAGGGGTGGTTGTTACAGTGTTTGTTTTTTTTCTGTTTGGTGTGAGCATTATCCTAAAAATTTGTTTTTTTTTTTGTTTTTTTTTCCACTTTTTCTTCTAAAAAGAAAACTGTAGCAAAACAAAATCCAGAATATTTCTTCAATCAGATCTTTAAAAGGCCTTGGAGATCTATTTCTGAATGCACAATAGACCTTCCTTAGAATGTTTAAAAATGTACACATAAATAGGAAAGATAATAAAATGCTCTAAAGACATCATAGTCACTTACTATATAGACGTTAGTGGGATGGGGACCAAAACTACCATTTCTCTTTTGTTCACTTAACCAGGAGTGGAAGTAAGCCAGTGTTATCAGGGGGGTGATAGTATTGGAAAGTAGTGTTAGTGAAGGAGGAAGAAGGAAAGGAGTGCTAATAATATTCTACATCATATTCTATAAATCATATCCTCCAAATTAATTAAGTAGTCACCCCCCCCCCCCCGCCCTTTCCCCCAGGATAGAAGGTTGGGATGTTTTTGTTTTCCCTTCTGTCTTGGAGAGCTCAGTGGGCACTGGCCATTTCACTACCTCTACATTTGTCTTGGAGGAGGTGCTCTCTCTCAGATCTTTCTCTCTGAGGTCTGGAAGACTAGGAAGATTTTTGCTATTTTCCATTTAATCAGGGGTTTAACCACAACAAGAGTGGTCAATGAGAGTTTGGGAAAGGTGTCTTGGGCATTCGGTCCTATCATTCTCAAGGTACTTTCCTTGTAAGTTTCAGGTTTCAAGGCTATCCTCAATTTTCTCCATGTGTGCTCCTGAGTTTTCTTATAAATGTGGTGAATTTGCCTTCTCTTCCTCAGTGGGAGTATTTTCTTAGAAGTTTTAAGGCTAAGTTCCCCATATCAAAGTCATCTAATTGAGATATTTCCCATTTTGATGAATAATGATTTGCATACTTTTCTTTGAGCCAAAGCTTCTTAGAATGATGAATGCATAATTTTGTACATTTAATAAATTCCATTCTTGTTTTCAAAGAAGGAACTGTGAGAATGTGACTTGTAGGATATAGCCACCTACTATCTGTGTGACCTTGGGCAAGTTATTCTCTGTGTGACTCATTTTCCTCATATGTTAATTGACAGGGTTGGATTAGATGGCTTCTAAGGTCACTTCCAGCTCCTTATAATTGGCAGAAAAAGATTCTTTAGCATCTACCAAGAATAATTATTGCCGAAGCTAAATGCTCTTAAATTCAGAAGATTCTTGGAACATGTTTAAAAAAAGCAAATGTTTACAAAAGGAGGCCCCCTAATAGTTCTGTTAAAGATCATGAACATAGAATATGAGTTAGGGACTGGACCTGTGAATTTGAGTGTGGGGAATTCCTGGATGAGGAAACCCTTCTGGCTGAGGCAGCATGGCATAGGACAGGGCCCAGGACTTAGATTCAGTGAGACTTGGGTTCAAATCCTGAGGGTATTAGGTGGTGCAGTGGATAGAGCACAGGGCCTGCAGTAAGGACAGGAGTACAAATCCAGCCTTAGACACTTACTAGCTGTATGACCCTGGGCAAATCACAACCCCAGTTGTCTCCAAAACAAACAAAAACAAAAACAAAAACAAAATCCTGCCTCATAAACTTATTAGCTATGTAAAGGACCTTGACAGGTCCTTTAACCTCTATGGGATTCAACATTATCATTTGTAAATTGACAGGATTGTCTTAGAGGTGTCTTAGGTGACTTTCAATTCAAAATCTGTGATGCTATAAAACTGTTACCAATGCAGGTTAACCCCTTCTTTGTAACTTAAGAGAGTTGCCTAGACTGAGCAAAGATGTCAGTCTGACATGTGACCCAATGTATGGTTTAGTGGCTCCTGCTTCTATCTGAGTTAGACACCATTGGCCTACAATACTGACAAGGGTTAAATGACTTGCCTAGGGTCATGCAGCCAGTTTGTGTCTGAGGGAGGACTGGAACCCAGATTGCCCTGGCTTCCAGGCCAGCTTTCTTAGTGGGCAAAGGATAAAGAACAAAATAAAATACAAACATTACACAATTATTTCAGGTTTACAGGAAAATTTTCTCTTGACTCTGTGAGCCAGTCAGGAAATTAAGGGCAAAGTGACTTGTCCATGGTCATGCTAATATTAGGGCTACAGGATTTAGATAATAAATCCCCTGACACTAGGAGTATCACTCTCCACTGTTCTCCCAACTGGAAATGCTTCAGGAGGCCTGGGGTAGTAATAATTACCTCATTTAAGGTAAGTAGGCACTTCCTTTTCTAATAATGCTTTGTATCTTTCACATGATTCTTTTTCGACCTCATAAGTTCTAACAGAGGCGCGACAACCATTCATTTCACCTACTTTTCATTCAGCCCTTCTTCCCAATCTTACATGACTCTCTTTCCATTACTTTGTGCCTCTACCAAACTGTAGCACTAACTGTCCAACAAATTAAATGTGCCACCTGCCTCCTCCCTGCATCTGTTCAGGACCTCACTCCCCGGGGATGGCTAGGGTACATTCTCTCCTCATCTTTGCTGTTAAAATCTTCCACTTCTTCCAAGACTGAGTTCAGGTGCTACCTGTTCTGTGTAGTTTTCCCAGATTCTTCTCCAGCAAAAAGTGTTCCCTCCCTTCGCAAATATTCCCAGAATACTTTG